TATTGTTTAGATGGAGGATTCTCCAGAGAGATCTGATTTATGCCTGTGTGCTCTTCTGGGCTTGTTTCCAGTGCAGACGACCAGAAGCGGAGCTGCTTGCTGCAAGGACTGTTGCTCCTCCGAGGCACTTTTGGCACAAAGAGGTGCCCTCAATCGGGATTGATTCCTTCATCCGCCGCTCTTCCTTTTGGGGAGAAGAAGATGACTCTCAACACCCAGAGAAGAGGAGGAGGAGGAAGAGGAAGAGATAATAACAACATCATGAGTCCGGTCCAGAGAAGAGCCAGCACCCCTCTGCCTGTTTCCCGGTCGGGGATGCTGAGTGTCCGTCCAAACCAGGCCGCATCCGGCCACCCGCAGCTGGGGCACTCCTCCTCTTGCGAACCCCAAGGATCACGACTCGAACCCCGAGGCAGCTGGTCATCTGGATCCTCCGACTCGGATGGATCCTGGGCTTCGTTGTACCGAGTGGTGCTTTTGGGCGACTCCGGCGTGGGCAAGACCAGCTTGGTCAACCTGTTTGCTGGCGTTCAAGACAAGGATGTGCCGGAGCAACAGATTGGTAAGACGGATGGGAATTGGGGGGAATTGGAGTGGCATCCACACTATAGAATTGATGCAGTTTGGTACTACTTTGATTACAGGGCTCATTGCTATGGAATCGTAAGAATCCTAGTTCTCTAGTCTTCTCTGGAAAGGCCTTGCCAAACTTCAAATCCTAGGATGCAGTCAAAAAGTGGTATCAAAAGGGTATAGCAGGCATGGGCAAACTTGGGCTCTCCAGGTGTTTTGGACTCCAACTCCGGTAGGCTGTTAGGAATTGTGGGAGTTGAAGTCCAAAACACCTGGAGGGCCCAAGTTTGCCCATGCCTGATGTATACTCATATAATCCAGTTCAATTGCATTCTGAAACTGCATTATTTGGCAGTGTAGACCCAACCTCACTCAGCCTGCTTATGATCTTCCTACACTGCATCCACACTGTAGAATAAATGCAGTTCGAAACCACCTGTAGCCAGAATGGCTAAATCTATGGAATCCTGGGATTTGTAGTTTGATGAGGCAGCACTCCTTGGCAAAGAAGCCGAAAGACCTTGTGAAACTATAACTCCCAGGATTTCATAGCGCTAACGTGTTTTCAAACTGCATTCATTCCACTGTATATGCACCCCTAGAAGCAGTTACTTGTCTTGGACTACAGATCCCAGAATCCCCAGAATAGACAGGCTGGAAGGTTGGCCCTGATTCATAGCTGATACCTGCCTCTTCTCTGGCTCTTTTCAGAAGATACCTATGAGCGCACCTTGTCTGTGGACGGCGAGGAGACCACCTTGATGGTGATGGACACCTGGGAGGCTGAGAAGCGGGTATTATTATTATTATTATTATTATTATTATTATTATTATTATGTTTGTTTATATCCGTGTTCCGGTCCTAAACAAGACTCAGAACAGCTCAAAACACCGAAAACAATACAAATTGCAACTTAGGTAGGTTGCAGATTCAGCGAGACCTTCCATTGAGATCCAACAATGTCACTTTTAAGACTTCCCAGTGTGTTTGGCAACCTATATCCACAGTTTTTGCATCCATTGATTCACTTGTGCACGGCTCGAATATATATTGAGAACCACTGATCTGGATTATATGGCATTATAGATCCAGCCTGGGATTTGAGCAACCATGGATCTTTGTCATCCAGGAACCAAGCCCCAAATGATACTGGGGACTCACTTTATAATTACTACTAGGATAGCACAATTAATGAGGTTCCTATCAACTTACTTACTTAGGCGATCCCTCGTTGACCATGTAAGATTGTCTCCTGGCGGTGGGTCTGTAGCTGACTGTGGAGCCCTATTCTTGACCTGCATCTTCTCCCGCAGTGAGGGCATCGATTTCCAGGTGGAAGGCAGTCTCAGTCGAGGTTGGCTTGACACACCTTCCTCTTGGCACATTTCTCTCCTTTGCCCTTCATCCATGCCTTTTCAAATTCTACAGCACTTATGGTCACAGCTGATCTCCAGCTAGAGCGCTCAAGAGCCAGGGCTTCCCAGTTCTCGGTGTCTATGCCACAGGTTTTAAGATTGGCTTTGAGCCCATCTTTAAATCTCTTTTCCTGTCCTCCAACATTCAGTTTTCTATTCTTGAGTTCGAAGTAGAACAACTGCTTTGGGAGACGGTGGTCAAGCATTTGGACAGCGTGTCCGGTCCAATGGAGTTGATGCCGGAGGACCATTGCTTCAGTGCTGGTGGTCTTTGCTTCTTCCAGCACGCTGACATTTGTCCGCTTGTCTTCCCAAGAAAATTGCAAGAAGTTTTTGGAGGCAACGCTGATGGAATCATTCTAGGAGTTGCATGTGACGTCTGTAGATAGTCCACGTTTTGCAGGCGTATAGCAGGGTTGGGAGGACAATAGCTTTATAAACAAGCACCTTGGTATCCCTACAAATGTCCCGGTCCTCAAACACTCTCTGCTTCATTCGGAAAAATGCTGCACTCGCAGAGCTCAGCCGGTGTTGTATTTCACTGCAGACGCCTTCAACCAGAGAAGTCAGCCATAGCAGAGCACCTGATGAACCAACCTGGACACAGCATATTAATTGAGAACACAGAAATGCTGGACCACTCTCACAACCACCATGTCAGACTACACAGAGAAGCCATTGAAATCCACAAGAAGCATGTGGACAATTTCAACAGAAAGGAGGAAACCATGAAAATGAACAAAATCTGGCTACCAGTATTAAAAAACTCTAAAATTACAACAGCAAAACAACAGAGAGTAAACAATCAGGCACATCTAATCACCTCTCAACAAAAGATTGCCCCAAGCATTTCCATGCCATCAAATGCTAATCAAGGTAGTCGGTTAAAACATTCACACCTAGCTCCAGCAGACAAGAGTCCTTTGTCCCACCCTGGTCATTCCACAGATATATAAACCCTTTTTCCTATTTCCAACAGACCGCACTACCTCTGAGGATGCTTGCCATAGATGCAGGCGAAACGTCAGGAGAGAATGCCTCTAGACCATGGCCATATAGCCCGAAAAAACCTACAACAACCCGGTGTTGTATTTGCTCCTATTAAGGACCTTAAATATAATGGAAGTTTGGGATTCACACCACTTGCAATGGCACAGAAGTAGCTCTGCTTGTAATGGGCCTTATTATTATTATTATTATTATTATTATATTTTACTAACACAATAATAATAATAATAATAATGCCCATTTACAGTAGAGCTACTTCTGTGCCATTGCAAGTGGTGTGAACCCCCAAACCTTCATTATATTAAGGCCCTTAATAGGAGCAAATATAACACTGTTATTGTTATTGTTATTATTATTGTTATTATTATTTGAAACACAACAAGATGAGTCCACAGCAGACCAGATCACTCTGCTGGCTGTTGTATTAGATCACACATCGGACACTTCCCAAGTGTTGTTGTTGTTGTTGTTATTGTTATTTGATAGCCTGGCACTGGCAGGCAATCAAATGCTAATCTAGGTGGTCAGTTGAAACATCCACACCTAGCTCCAGCAGACAAGAGTCCTTTGTCCCACCTTGGTCTTTCCACAGATATATAAACCCATTTTCCTAGTTCCAACAGACCTCACTACCTCTGAGGGTGCTTGCCATAGATGCAGGCGAAACGTCAGGAGAAAATGCCTCTAGAACATGGCCATACAGGCCGAAAAAACCTACAACAACCCAGTTATTATTATTATTGTTATTATTATTTGAAACACAACAAGATGAGTCCACAGCAGACCAGATCACTCTCCTGGCTGTTGTATTAGATCACACGTCGGACATTTCCCAAGTGTTGTTGTTGTTGTTATTATATAAAGTGCCTCTATGCTGCATATTAAATTAGGTTTGGCACCACTTTAACTATGGACAAATGGGAGTTATAGTTTGGGCTTCCTCTGGTGTCAAAGAGCGCTGGTATCAAACCGCAACTTCCAGGATTCCATGTGGCATTAACTCTATAGTGCAGATGCATCCTGGAAAGCAATGCAAAAAGGACTTGCTGGCCCAGAACAATTGCATTGATTAATCAGATATCGGGGAAGTTACTTTCCGAGTAACTATCCCCGAGTGTCCTATTTTCTCATATCAAACATTAAGGGTTTTTTCCCCCTTTTTCAGCCATAGAGAATGGCTCTCTCCCTCGCTCTCCCCTCGGGGCGTCCAGCTTGGCTCCACGTGGGAAGCCAACATCCCATCGATTGTGGTTTAAATTTGTCACCCGGCCTCTTTCTCCAAAGCTTTGGTTCGGGGATGGCAATCGATTCGGAACAAATACAAAACATTCCATCAGACGGAGCAGCACAAAAGGCGGGAGTCACAAAATCGTAGTCAGAGGGGACCCCCAGAGGCTATCTAGTCCAACCACCTTTGCCAGGGGAGTAGTCATAAAACTTCATAAAAACTTCAAAAGGAGGAATTTTTTTTTCCCAGAGAGAGTCAAGACATCCACTGTGATATTACCAATATTTTGAAAAACATATTAGTTGGTTGGTTATTTCTCTTTGATTCTGGATGCATCTACAATAGGCATGGGCCCAAGTTGGCCCATACCTGATCTATGCTGTTGAGTTAGTGTCGTTTGGCAACACTTTCAGTGCTATGCATATAATGGTATTCCAAAATCCAAAACACCTCTGGTCCTAAGCATTTAAGATTTTGGATGCTCAGTTTGTGTATTATGAAAAGGCAAGCCTTCTGGAATCATCATCATCATCATCATCATCATCATCATCATCATCACCACCACCACCACCACCACCACCATTCCTCTTCTTTTGCCCTCACAGGATTAATAGTAGGTACATGGGAGCAGTTTGTAATCCTAGTAACAATAGTAATTTCTCCCTATAAGCACAACCTATAAGATGGGACTCGGGCCCCTTCTACACTTCCATATAAAATCCAGATTATCTGCTTTGAACTGGATTATATGGCAGTGTAGACTCAGGCAACCCAGTTCTAGGCAGATCATGTGTATTATCTGCTTTGATCATAGAATCCTAGAGTTGGAAGAGACCTGGTGGGTCATCCAGTCCAACCCTCTGCCGAGAAACAGGAATATTGCATTCAAATCACCCCTGACAGATGGCCATCCAGCCTCTGCTTAAAAGCTTCCAAAGAAGGAGCCTCCACCACACTCCGGGGCAGAGAGTTCCACTGCTGAACGGTTCTCGCAGTCAGGAAGTTCTTCCTCGTGTTCAGATGGAATCTCCTCTCTTGTAGTTTGAAGCCATTGTTCCGCGTCCTAGTCTCCCAGGGAAGCAGAAAATAAGTTCACTCCCTTCTCCTTATGACTTCCTCTCCCATATTTATACATGGCTGCTATCATGTCTCCTCTCAGCCTTCTCTTCTGCAGTCTGAACATGCCCAGCTCTTTAAGCCGCTCCTCATGAGGCTTGTTCTCCAAATCCTTGATTGTTTTAGTAGCCCTCTTCTGGACACTTTCCACCTTGTCAACATCTCTCTTCAATTGTGGTGCCCAAAACTGGACACAGTATTCCAGGTGTGGTATAACCAAGGCAAAATAGAGCATGGGGAGCATGACTTCCCTGGATCTAGACACTAGACTCCTCTTGATGCAGGCCAAAATCCCACTGGCTTTTTTGCCACCACATCACATTGTTGGTTCATGTTTAACTTGTTGTCCACGAGGATTCACACGTACTTCTCTCGAGCCAGGCATCGTCCCCTATTCTGTATCTTTGCATTTCCTTTTTTCTGCCTAAGTGGAGTATGATAATCTGGGTTATATAGCAGTGTAGAAGGGGCCCGAGTAGGAAGGGACGATGCACTCTAAACATGCCTAGAGGTAACTTTGGCTGCATTTCTTTCCATGTTTCCAGGTATGAGATATCAAATACAGGCAGTGCCCAAATTATGAGCAAGGTGTTATGCACATTATATTTAAAAAGTCCAGGTTTTCACCTGGCATTTGCTAGTTATTTTCCCTGGGTCTTCCCATTGGAGGGTCTCCCCTTGTCGGCCTCACTCTGCCTGTGCAATCGGTGTGCTCCAAAGCAGAGGCTGGAATTTGCCACTGACGGGGAGACTGTGTCAAACGCAGCCCGGAGGCAGAAAGCTTTTAATCTGCAGATGGTCGGTTCAGCCAAGTGGAAAGGCAGGGGTGCTTCCCGGCCGGAGGTCGATGGCGTGGGTCAGATAGGCTTCTGCCACCCAAAAGAAGGAGATGGTGCTATCTTGCCCATTTGCCCTGGACCCAGACTTCATATCTCAATACACAGTCTTGCCGTTTTGCAATTCAGGCTCTGCACTGTAAGGTTAATGCAGTTTGACACCACCTTATTGTATCATGTGTGCTTGGTTTTACAAGGACTCTATCCTTCTCTGCCAAGCTGCAAACACCAAACTATGAATACCAATTGAGCCATGGCACTTAATGTATTTTCAAACTACATTCATTCTATAGTGTAGATGCATCCACCTGAAATGGAAGGTAAGGCTTCTCTCTAGGGTTAGAATCATTTTTTCCCTGCTGGACTTGAAGAATGTCTATAATCCTAGAATCAGAGGGGACTGCAAAGGCCATCCAGTCTAACCTCATTCTGCAATTCAGGAAAACACAATCCAAACCCTCCCGAAAGATGGGCATCCAGCCTCCTTTTAAAAACAGAGGAGGAGACTTCACTGGACTCCCAGACAACAAGTGTATGCAACTTCCAAGGTAAAATCCCAAAACTTAAATCATGAATCAAACAAGGCACTTAAACATGAATCTATCCAAAGCAAGGCTTCCAAGGATCAGGAAAGATGTCTTCACTCAGTTCCAACGATGCTTCGTCTGACTACAGATTCTGTACATGGCACTTTTATCCCCTAATCTATTCTATGTCCCAAGCGGCCAGGAACTGATTTCGTTTCAGCCTTGACTCTGTTATCAATCTCTCTCGCTCAGTCTGGCAGAACGCTTGAGAGATTGGTTTGTTTGCCTGTGCTGACTAAAACCATGCCTTCTATCTACTGCCTCATTAATTTCTGCAGCTGGCCCAGGTGCCGAGCTATTCTCAGGCTCAAAGTCATGGGAATTCTCTGGTAGCAATTCAGGCCCTCTTTCAGGGACCATACCATCATCCCCAAACCCTTCAGGAACATTCTCATCAGAAAAGACACTTTGAACAGGAATCCCATTGTCATTCTCTGCATCAATAGCAACCTCATCATTGGATACAACATCCAGAGTGCCCTAATCATTAGTCACAATCATAGGCTGAACTCCAACAGTTCCTTTAAAGCAGGCATGGGGCAACTTTGGCCCTCCAGGTGTTTTGGACTTCAACTCCCACAATTCCTAACAGCCTACCAGCTGTTAGGAATGTGGGAGTTGGAGTCCAAAACACCTGGAGGGAGGGCCCAAGTTGGCCCATGCCTGCTTTAAAGTCTGGACTAAAACCTGACTTCACTAAATGGCTCTTTCCTCTCATTTCCGCAGGTCCCAGAGGAGGACAACTGGTTCCACAATTACTGCATGCAGGTGGGCAATGCCTACGTCATCGTCTACTCCATAACCGACCGGGGAAGCTTTGAGAGTGCCTCGGAGCTGCGGATCCAGCTACGGAGGACGCGCCAGGCGGAGAACATCCCCATCATCTTGGTGGGGAACAAGACGGACCTGGTGCGCTGCCGGGAGGTGTCCGTGGAAGGTGAGTCCATGCAAAAGTGGTTTCCGAGTCTCGGTAGACAGCAAGCCAAACGTAAGTCAGTGGTGTGATGAGCGGCTGAAAAAGCCCATGAGGTTATATGCTGTGTCAATGGGAGTATAGTGCCATATGGAGGGAGGTCATCGTCCCACTCCATTTTGATTTGGTCAGATCTCACCTGGAATAATAACCCTGTGTCTGTTGCACTCCAGAACAGCAATAATCCTTTGACTTTAAACACCACATGTTGAATAGGAAAAAACAATATTTTTATTGAAGATAATTAAAAAGCAGCAAAGTTAAAAAAGCACTTTAAAGAAATAGGTAAATCCAATTAGGTAAGAAGATAAGCAGGAACAAATTAGTCCATGGTAGAGTTCAGCAATGTCCATAAAAACAAAGTCCACACATCTCCAATACAATCCAGAAAATCAGGAATACATTGATCCAAGGCTTGGGTAAGCAATCATGAAATCCAGGAATCCAAAACCATGAACAGGAAACTTCAAAGCAAGTTTTCCATAAAACAAGGATGAGAACTTGGCGTGATTCTAAACAATGCTTCATCTGACTACATATTCCAAACTTGAAACTTTTATCCCTTCATTAGCTAGGTCCCTAGTGGTCAGAAATTGGTTTCTCTTTAGTTGGGGCTTTGTTATTGTTTTCTGTCAAAGCCTGGCAGATCGCCTAAGCCTTTGCACAGCTCTCCTGTTTTGACTGAACTCTTCTTCCCTATCTCTTGGCTCGTTATCTACTTGCTCATTAATTTCTGCAAGTGCCGAGCTATTTTCATGTTATCTCTCATGAGAACTCTCTGGTAACACTTCAGACAGCACACCATCATCCCCACGCCCACTCAGGGACATTCTCATGGGAAACTAAAGGGATCTCCTGGTCATTCTCTGCATCAATATCACTGACCAAACCATTGCCATCTTGAAACTCATCTTGAACCTCATTAACATAATTCCCCACATCCAAAGCACCCTGATCCTGAAACATAATCACAGGCTGAACTCCCAACAGTGTCTTGTTCTGGCAAAACAATTCAAGGAGAAGGACGAGATGGAAGGTGCCCAAACAAAACAGTCCAAAGTCTGGAAGCTAAGCCTTATGAGGAATGTTTGAGGAAGCTGGGTATGTCTAGCATGGAGAAAATAATGGTGAGAGGGGACATGAGAGCCATGTTTAAGTATCTGAACAGATATCACATTGAGGAAAGGGCAAGCTTGTTTTCTATGCTTTGGAAACTAGAACACAATGGAGCAATGGATTCAAATGGCAGGAAAAGAGATTCCATCTAAACATTAGCAGTTAGAGCTGTTTGTCATTGGACTAGGCTGCCTAGGACTCTGGAGGTTTTAAGCATAGGCTGGATGGTCATCTGTCAGGAGGGCTTGAATGGTGTCCTCTTGCCTGGCAGAAGCAGGTTGGACTAGATGGCCTTTGTGGTCCCTTCCAACACTATGATTCTATGGAAGGGATTTAATGGTGTGTTTCTGCGTAACAGAATGGGTGGTTTGAGGTCTCTTCCAATGCAATGATTCTGTTGTTGTTCATTCGTTCAGTCGTCTCCGACTCTTCGTGACCTCATGGACCAGCCCACGCCAGAGCTCCCTGTCGGCCGTCACCACCCCCAGCTCCTTCAAGGTCAGTCCAGTCACTTCAAGGATGCCATCCATCCAATGATTCTATGATACTAATAATAAAGGATGCAAGAAGATGTTGTCAAAAGCTTTCATGTTTGGAATCACTGGATTGCTTTGAGTTTTTTGGGCTGTATGGCCATGTTCCAGTAGAATTTTGTCCTGACGTTTCGCCTGAATCTGTGGCTAATAACATCTTCAGAGAGCCGTTGGCAGTGAGACAAGTAGAGTGTGTATATATACCTGTGGAATAATGTTCAGGGTGGGAGAAAGAACCGTTGTTTGTTTGAAGCATGTGTGAATGTTGCAATTAGCAAACTTGAATAGCATTGAGTAGCTATGAAGCTGCAAAGTCAATCAGTGAGGGTATCTGCATAGGGGTAGCTTGGAATCCACAGGCATGGGAGCAGTTTCAACAGAAAGGAGGAAACCAAGAAAATGGAACAAAATCTGGTTACCAGAATTAAAAAAACACCATTATGAAGACAGTCAAGAAAGAACCTTGGTTTTTATAGATATTATAAATAACTGATATTTATTAATAAAATATATATATTTAAAAGAATGAACACTGCTCAGAAACAGGAGAGCTCCAGACAGATAACAATCAAGTGCCAGTTAACAACGCCCAAACAGAGGATGTATTGTTGAAGGCTTTCATGGCCGGAATCACTGGGTTGTTGTAGGTTTTTTTTTTTTGGACTATATGGCCATGTTTAGAGGCATTCTCTCCTGATGTTTCGCCTGCATCTAAGGCAAGCATCCTCTGAGGTAGAGAGGTCGATCATTCCACAGATATATAAACCCATTTTCCTAGTTCCAACAGACCTCACAACCTCTAAGGATGCTTGCCATAGATGCAGGCGAAATGTCAGGAGAGAATGCCTCTAGAACATGGCCATATAGCCCAAAAAACCTACAACAACCCAAACAGAGGATGTCCCCAGGCAACAAAGGCCAGGCTATCTCACTAACTGACCTTCCAACTTCATGGCTACTCAATGCTATTTAAGCTTGCTAATTGCAACATTCGCACTTGCTTTAAACAAACAACGGTGCTTCACTGTCAACAGAACCTCTAAAGATACCGGCATGGCCATTCAGCCCGGAAAACTCACAGCAACCCTATTCCAGTATATTATTATTATTATTATTATTATTATTATTATTATTATTGTTATTATTGTTATTATTATTATTATTATACCCTGTTTTACCTCCCCAAAAGGGACTCAAAGCGGCTTGACATAAAAGCATTGGTATCCAATTTAAAATATATGAATATATTTTGGGATCAATTAGATTGGGGGTTGGGGAGATCAGGGCTTGGAGAACCTCCGAAAGCAGAGTCTCCTTCAAGCTTGCAGACCATTTATTTATTTATTATTTATTTATTTGCATTATTTCTACCCCACTCATATCAGCCCGAAGGCGACTCAGAGCGGCGTACACAATCGGCACAATTCGATGCCATAAAAATACATACATTGATAAACAAAAAGAACCATTATAGTGCAATTAGACATAAGACAGTGCATAATAACAATATTAAAACTAAAAATCTATATCCTCTCATTCAAGTCCTTATCCATTCCATCGTCTTGGGTCATTTTCCAATTCAAGTTTGTCTATTTATTCGGAGGTTCCAAATGCTTGCTCGAAGAGCCAAGTTTTTACTCTTTTCCGAAAGGTCAGGAGGGAGGGGGCTAATCTAATGTCCCTAGGCAAGGAGTTCCACAGCCGAGGGGCCACCACAGAGAAGGCCCTGTCTTTCGTCCCCACCAGATGTGCTTGCGAAGCAGGCAGGATCGAGAGCAGGGCCTCCTTGGGCGATCTCAAATTCCTGGAGGGTTCGTAGGTAGAGACGCATTCAGATAGATAAGCTGCTTTTTCCTCTCTTCACACTTGGGTCCTTTTCTCTCCTGTGACAGAGGGCCGGGCATGTGCTGTTGTTTTCGACTGCAAGTTCATCGAGACATCAGCCACCCTCCAGCACAACGTGACGGAGCTCTTCGAAGGGGTGGTGCGCCAGATCCGCCTGCGCCGGGACAGCAAGGAGGCCAACGCCCGGCGCATGTCGCTCTACAAGCGCAAGGAGAGCCTCACCAAGAAGGTGCGGCGCTTCCTGGACCGGTTGGTGGCCCGCAACAACAAGAAGGTGGCCCGCAAGGTTCGCTCCAAGTCCTGCCACGACCTCTCGGTGCTGTGAGCGCTCTGGAGGCCCTTCCTCGCCTCCTCTTCCTCTCAGCCTTCCTCCCTGCCTCTACCTTGGGGTTTGCAATCTCTCTTCTTTGCTGGTGGCTCTCAGGAGAGGACTGGCTGGTCGAGAAATGCAAAGGACAATGGGCAGCCAGGAGAAAGGGGACAGAAAGGGCAAGCAGAAGCCCCAAACCAGCCTTGGATCAATGGAGAAGCCACCCAGCACTATGACTACGAAGGCAGCACATGACATGGATTCTGGCATTGGCTGCATAGATGGCTGGAAACAGTTGTTTTTGTCCTTTTCATCATTGGGGTTAAAAAGAGTAGCACAATATGGGACATCATCTTTCCCAATTTTCCTCATCCTAAAACTTTTGGGATCTGAAACATCTTCCAAGTCCACTGAGTTTTGCTACAGTACTACACTTAGGCAGAAGACACCTGGTTGACAACAGTTCCATGTGAAAGGGAACTAGAAGTCTTAGCACATGAGTCAGCTGTGTGATGCAGCAGCTTAAAAAGTCAATGCAATTCTAAGCATTGCATCAATAAGAGCCTAGATCAAGCGAAATCCTAGTCCCCTTCTCTTCTGCTTTGGTCAGATCTTACTTGGAAGAGTTCTGTGTCCAGTTCTAAGTAAAGCAATTGAAAAACAAAAAGATGGACGAGATGGAAGGCCTCCTGAGGAGGGTGACCAAAATGGGCAAAAATCAGATTGTTTTCTGGTGCTCTAGAGACTGAGATACAGAGCAATGGATTCAAACTGCAGGATAGAAGATTCCATCTAAAAGTTTGGAAGAACATTTTAATAATGAGAGTTGTTTAACTGTGGAATATGCTACATCAGAGTGAAGTCTCCTCCTCTGGAGGTTTTTGAGCAGAGGCTGGATGGTCATCTACTAAGAGGACTTTGATGGCAGAAGGGGGTTGGACTGGATGTCCCTTGGGGTCTCGTCCAACTCTAGGATTCTATGGGTTGATCATGAGCCAAATACTGTTAAGGGCTGAATGCTGCCCATTGGCACACTTTTCCCATTTGGGAAGCCAGGGATACAGGACTTTGGAGATGATGTCCACTTGAGGCTCGAGAAACCAAAGAGGGTGGAGTCTCCTTCTCTGGAGGTTTTTGAGCATAGGCTGGATGGTCATCTACTAAGAGGACTTTGATGCTAGAAGGGGGTTGAACTGGATGTCCCTTGGGGTCTCATCCAACTCTATGGGCTGATCATGAGCCATATACTGTTAAGGGCTGAATGCTGCCCATTGGCACACTTTCCCCATTTGGGAATCCAGGGACGAGGGATTTGGAGATGATGTCCACTTGAGGATGGAGAAACCAAAGAGGACTGTTGGCGGTTTGAGAGACTCCGCAGAGTCCAGCTTGAAGCCAGCAGAGAGTTTCCAGCTGGGTCTCTCTCTGTGTGTATATATATATATATATATATGTAAACACAACATTGGATGAGCCATTTTTTCCTCTGCTGCCTTTAAAAATAAGGAGCCATCTGCTTGTTTGATTCCTATCGGCACTGCTTGTACATTTGTAAATAAAGCCGGCGGTATGACACGGACACCACTGGCTGCTTTCCTCCAAACAAACTCAGCGATGCTGCGTGTCCCAGCTCTCCTTCCCCGAAACCCTTCGCTGCTGGGACACTTGCAGCGAGAGAATCGGAAAAGCCCGGGCCCAGCGCCAGGTTTTGTGGCTCAGGGACCGGTCTCTTTTCCTCCCGGGTCAGGTCAGAAGTTTCCATGGCTGGTGGGGATTGTTTAAGGAGGCAAAGCCCGGGAGAAGGAGAGGCTGAGCGCCAGCATTTCGCAGGCATTTGTCTTGTCAGAGGAGGAGGAGAGCAACCGTCCCAACTGAACTCTTTCCTCCCCTACAGCCACACAAATAAACAATCCCTGGTGCCTTGTTGCATACATCACTGTCACAGGGCTTTCTAACCAACAGTTGCAAATCATCTGGGATTTGTTTTGTTTTGTTTGGGGAAGGGGGAGCAGGGACCCCAAATCCCATCACATTCTGCCTAGCTCATTCAGTCGGGGAAACTGGGAGCTGGAGTCCAAAGCAGATTGGACTTGACAGATTAGAGAGATGGGCCAAAACTAACAAAATGAAGTTCAACAGTGACAAATGCAAGATACTCCACTTTGGCAGGAAAAACGAAATGCAAAAATACAGAATGGGGGACTACCTGGCTCGAGAGCAGTACGTGTGAAAAAGATCTTGGAGTCCTCGTGGACAACAAGTTAAACATGACCCAACAATGTGATGTGGTGGCAAAAAAAGCCAATGGGATTTTGGCCTGCATCAAGAGGAGCATAGTGTCTAGATCTAGGGAAGTCATGCTACCTCTATATTCCGCTTTGGTTAGACCACACCTGGAATATTGTGTCCAATTCTGGGCACCACATCAAGAGAGATATTGACAAGTTGGAATGTGTCCAGAGAAGGGCAACTAAAATGATCAAGAGTCTGGAAACAAGCCCTATGAGGAGTGGCTGAAAGAGCTGGGCATGTTTAGCCTACAGAAGAGAAGGCTGAGAGGAGATATGATAGCCATGTATAAATATGTGAGGAAGCCACAGGGAGGAGGGAGCAAGCTTGTTTTCTGCTTCCCTGGAGACTAGGACGCGGAACAATGGCTTCAAACTACAAGAAAGGAGATTCCATCTGAACATGAGGAAGAACTTCCTAACTGTGAGAGCTGTTCAGCAGTGGAACTCTCTGCCCCGGAGTGTGGTGGAGGCTCCTTCTTTGGAGGCTTTTAAACAGAGGCTGGATGGCCATCTGTCAGGGGTGATTTGAATGCAATATTCCTGCTTCTTGGCAGAATGGGGTTGGACTGGATGGCCCATGAGGTCTCTTCCAACTCTTTCATTCTATGATTCTATGAAAGCAACATGTTTCTTCAACTCCCATCTGCAGTACAGGATTCAAACAATCCAAACAATTACATTTCTAACAGAACAAAGCAAACAATCAGACAAAATACAAAACTTGTGAGTTTGGTAGTTGGTTAATGTCCTTTGACCAGTATCTGGCCACTTGGAGTGCTTCTGGTGTTGCTGCAAGAAGGTCCTCCATTGTGCATGTGGCAGGGCTCAGGTTGCATTGCAGCAGGTGGTCAGTGGTTTGCTCTTCTCCACACTCGCATGTCGAGGATTCCACTTTGTACCCCCATTTCTGAAGGTTGGCTCTGCATCTCGTGGTGCCAGAGCGCAGTCTGTTCAGCGCCTTCCAAGTCGCCCAGTCTTCTGTGTGCCCAGGGGGGAGTCTCTCATTTGGTATCAGCCATTGGTTGAGGTTCTGGGTTTGAGCCTGCCACTTTTGGACTCTCGCTTGCTGAGGTGTTCCAGCGAGTGTCTCTGTAGATCTTAGAAAACTATTTCTTGATTTAAGTCGTTGTCGTGCTGGCTGATACCCAAACAGGGGATGAGCTGGAGATGTCTCTGCCTTGGTCCTTTCACTATTGGCTGCTACTTCCCGGCGGATGTCAGGTGGTGCAATACCGGCTAAGCAGTGTAATTTCCTCCAGTGGTGTAGGGCGCAGACACCCGTGATAATGCGGCATGTCTCATTAAGAGCCACATCCACTGTTTTAGCGTGGTGAGATGTGTTCCACACTGGGCATGCATACTCAGCAGCAGAGTAGCACAGCGCAAGGGCGGATGTCTTCACTGTGTCTGGTTGTGATCCCCAGGTTGTGCCAGTCAGCTTTCGTATGATATTGTTTCTAGCACCCACTTTTTGCTTGATGTTCAGGCAGTGCTTCTTGTAGGTGAGAGCACGGTCCAGAGTGACTCCCAGGTATTTGGGTGCGCTGCAATGCTCCAGTGGGATTCCTTCCCAGGTAATAATCCTCAGAGCTCGGGATGCTTGTCTGTTCTTGAGATGAAAGGCACATGTCTGTGTTTTAGATGGGTTGGGTATGGAGATAGTGATGGTGGTGATGATATTTATTTGTATCCCACTTTTCTCTCTGGATTGAGACCCGGTGTGGCTAACCATTGCGAAACTGTGAATGTCAAGGACCGCACACTCAGAATTGTAACTTAAGTTAATTACGGTAGACTCTTGGTTAACCAAAGCTCAAGCAACTCACAATAATGGGTTGCTGTAGGTTTTTCAGGCTATATGGCCATGTTCTAGAAGCATTCGCTCCTGACGTTTCACCTGCATCTATGGCAAGCATCCTCAGAGGTTGTGAGGTCTGTTGGAACTAGGAAAATTGAGTTTATATATCTGTGGAATGTCCAGGGTGGGAGAAAGAACTCTTGTCTGTAGGAGCTACAACCATGTCACACTACACAGAGAAGCCATTGAAATCCATTAGCATGTTGGCAATTTCAACAGAAAGGAGGAAACCATGAAAATTAACAATATCCGGCTACCAGTATTAAAAAAAGTCTAAAATTATAACAGTAAAACAACACTCAAACACAGGCAACTCAGAGAGGAAACAATCAGGGATGGCTAATCACCTCTCAACAAAAGATTCCCCCAGGCAGTAGCAAGCCACACCAAAAAACTGCCAGGCCAGCAAATGCTAATCAAGGTGGCCAGTTGAAACATTCACACGTACCTCCAACAGACGAGAGAGGAGACTTGATGAGGGCCATGTATAAATATGTGAGAGAAAGTCATAGGGAGGAGGGAGCAAGTATGTTTTCTGCTGCCCTGAAGACTAGGATGCAATGGAGCAATGGCTTCCAACTAGAATCATAGAATCAAAGAGTTGGAAGAGACCTCATGGGCCATCCAGTCCAACCCCATTCGGCCAAGAAGCAGGAATATTGCATTCAAAGCACCCCTGACAGATGGCCATCCAGCCTCTGTTTAAAAGCTTCCAAAGAAGGAGCCTCCACCACACTCCGGGGCAGAGAGTTCCACTGCTGAACGGCTCTCACAGTCAGGTAGTTCTTCCTCATGTTCAGATGGAATCTCCTCTCTTGTAGTTTGAAGCCATTGTTCCTTGTCCTAGTCTCCATGGAAGCAGTAAACAAGCTTGCTCCCTCCTCCCTGTGGCTTCCTCTCACATATTTATACATGGCTATCATATCTCCTCTCATCCTTCTCTTCTTCAGGCTAAACATGCCCAGCTCCTTAGCCGCTCCTCATAGGGCTTGTTCTCCAGACCCTTGATCATTTTAGTCACCCTCCTCTGGACACATTCCAGCTTGTCAATATCTCTCTTGAATTGTGGTGCCCAGAGGTTTGGACTGTGTCTTCCTGCCTGGCAGAATGAGGTTGGACTGGATGGCCTCTGGGGGTCTCGTCCAACTCTGTGATTATGAAATGTAAGCCTTTTGCTTGGTCCCTTTTGCTTGGACAACCCCAGCCTCAGTTGGTCCCCTCCTGGGAATAAGATTTCTGTAAACTGTCAGGCTCTTAAAAGTCGTTGTTATTGTTGGAGGAGAGGCCACTTTTCTCCCCTCCGCCCTGGTTTTTCTTCCTTCATCAGAAGGACATCCAGCTGCCCTGATGCATCTGAGGCCCATCCCTAACATTTCTTTTCCCCCCTCTTCTGATGCTCTCCGCCACTGCAAAAGTGGGAAAAACCCATGTTCTCATCCGGCAGCGGGAGGTGGAAAAGGAGGGAGGGGAGGAGGAAAAGAAAGGAGTGGAAAGTTGGCAAGAGGCGGTGGCTGGGCGAGTGGAAAGAGTGAGATCCTGCTCAGAAAAATGCAGGGCCCCCAACACGAAGGAAGTCAGGCGTGAGATAACAGCAAACTCTGTGGGCAAAGCAGGGTGAACCGATGGGATGGGAGCATGCGCCTTGGCAGGGAGAAGCATCAATCCCCAGCCTGGCCTTTTGAAAAAGTGACCTTGATACACCTCTCAAGTTGCTCTTTGGCACCCAGGGTTACCAAAAATCCAACATTTTTTTTGCACCTGAATGTTCACTGAATTCCCACATGTGCTCTCACACACCCTGGTTTGGAAGAACAAGAACTAGTCTTTGATTACATTGGTGGCATCATTTCCTATATGCTGGCTTCCTCCTTGCCATGGCATCCCAGCAAGACTTGCAACAGGGTTTATAATTCATGCTAAATGGTTTCAGCCAGCTATGGAGCACAATGAGACAACTACTGATCATGTGCAGAGTGTCTCTTGTGATGTCAAGCACCCCCCCCCCTCCAAATCTGCAAAGGGCAAGGGCACCAGACTACACAACAAGGGTTAAGTCTTGGTCACATTGCCAAGGCACTGACAACAACAAGGACCCCACGAGGCTTTTGGGAAATGGCTGGATCTTGGAACTTCTGCCCTTTGTGAGAGTTGCAGTTCCCCCAAGGACCGAGCGATGGATCATGTTATCTATCAACTCAGCGCCCATCCACTGACTTCTACCAAGAGAAATAACTCTTTGCTGCCTGACTTGGACTGCAAGCCACCTCCGCTTCCACAAACCTTCCCCAGGAGCATGGGATTCCCAGTTCTTTTAATAAATCAATATTGTAATAAAATAATAAAGATGTGGGGTGGGAATTTTTATATGAACTTTGTATGCATGAGATGCCATCCGCTTCCCTGCCTTCCCCTTTTCCCTCTTGACCTTTC